ACACACACACACACACACACAGAAAAATGAATTTGAAATCAATCTGTACTCAAAAAGGTCCCTTGCTATACTGTCCATTGATATAACAGTATTGTATTTGTGCAAGCTCTCTTTCTCTACTTCTCCCTCCTCCCCTTCTATATCTCTCTTCGCGCTTTTCTTTTCCATCGTCTTTAAAAACACAAATAAATAAATAAATAAATAAAGGACGACATTCTTCGTTATTTAACCTTCAAAACGATCTAAAGCAAAGTTGCCGTCGAGACCGATGTATTCCCTGCAAACTGCTTTGTCCCGTTAACGTTAAAGCTCGCGTCGTTCTTCCTCTTCACTCTCTTAAAAACTCTTCAGGTTTTTCCAGCTGAGCGATTCAGGCTGAGGCGGGCGCAACCGCACTAGAGGGAAAGTCAAGTCGTGCTGGACTGGCGCGGTATCCTCTCACGGTTTACAAGTAAAGCAAGAGCGGACTCGCATTTTATCAAGCTTTGAAAATGATGGAATATGCTGATTTTAAAAGTTGACCTGGGATTTCTAGTTGTCAGGTGTCGAGGCATGGCTTTCCTTGTAACTTGCTTATTTTTGTCTTGGTGAGTATGGCAACTCTTTTCTCTGCATGTTCTCGGACTTTTACGCATCTTAATCACAGACTGTGGATGCTTGTGCCTTTGAGAAACTCAGTATATTCAACTGATTTTCTATCTGTTGAAATGAGCTTTGAGCAGTGCATATGTACTTTAGTTACAGTGCTAGCAGTGTTTGGGGAAATCAGCACAGTGAGACCAGTATATATTTGGATAACATCACGCGTATATTGGATAGATTACTGGATGGCTATGACAACAGACTGCGACCTGGATTTGGAGGTATGCTAATGGACGTATTATATTGTATTTTGTATAATATTGCTTCATGATGATTAGATCCATATCCTTCCTTAAAGGATAAAGTTTTACTCAACTAGTTGTGTGTATCTCATCTAGTTTACGTTATCTCTTAGCCGTTTTTCCCCTCTTACATTATAATAAAATCACAAGTTTACTATTAGAAACTGTTCATAAAATTATCATATCTAAAGCATGCTGTTTTGTTGTGTGCTCGTTTGATCTGATGTGGTTATTTTAAGTCTGTAAATGGCACATTTTATACATGTAACTTTATTCCTTAACCTCTTTATATTTTAAGAAATTAACAAATAAGCTAGTCCAAAATTTTTGTCTGCATCAAAGCAACCACTTATCTTTCTGCTGTAGGTCCAGTTACAGAGGTCAAAACTGACATCTTTGTCACCAGCTTTGGACCTGTTTCAGATGTTGAGATGGTATGTCAACTATGCCGACCACAAGGAAAAATGTGTGGATGTTATTCACATACATGTGTTTGGTTGATTGTAAACAAAGTACATGTGAAAACAAGATTTCACTGCAATGTATATGGTCTTTCAACCTCAACTCATGTTACTCCCAGCATTCATTATTCCAACATTTGGGCAGGATGTCATTAGTGCAGCTTAGGATTTTAATCTGGTTTACAATCCCCCCCCACCCCCCCACCCTCCGCCATAGCGATGTGGCTGTGTTAGGATGGAATAGGCGGGCTACTTCTGCCACGGGATAGGCTGAGTGATGTATGTCTGTTGTACTCTACTATCTTTGGTCTTAAGCTTTAGATACTGCTTCACAGCCTCCAAAGCCTACTAGAACTGCCATGCGATATGCTAGGGGCAGTTCTATAGAGGGGTATGTAAAGCTTTTAAGGGAAGCAAGGCCATCCATGTGATCTAAAGGCTGGATAGACTCATGATACTGACTTACTGCTGACTCTACAGATGAAATAAACTGTGTCTATTTCAACTGTGTATTAATAATGAATTACTCAATCAATTCGCTTAACTTTCAGAGCTGGTAGGGAATGAAACATGGAAAACAGAAAAGTAAAATTTGCAACAATTGAAGAAAAACTATGTATATATAGTATATGATATATATTATATTGTTTATGTATATATCATATATATAATATATATATATATTATCTATATTATGTTGTGTTTTTGTGTGTGTGTGTGTTGTGTGTGTGTGTGTGTGTGTGTGTAAAAGGTGGAGTGATGTACATTGGTTAGGGTTTTCATCATAAACAAGGTTTTAGTTTTGGCAGTATTGGCATTAATAACATAATCCTCCAGAAAGAAAAAGAGACTGAGAAAGAGAAAACAATTCATCACATTGCCAATACTCTATCCAGCAGGTTCCTTCGAAACCATGGCTCACAAACCCATCTGCCATTATCTCCGGGGGAAGCAGATAATAATGGCAGGAGATAGTAGATGCAGCACCAGCAGTAGGAGTGGTCATAGTAGTAGTAAATACATTCGTAACCCACGCTCTCACCTCCATCCAGGAATACACCATGGATGTGTTCTTTCGTCAGACGTGGATTGACGAACGACTAAAATTTGAGGGCCCCATTGAGATCCTGCGGCTCAACAACTTGATGGTCAGCAAGATCTGGACACCGGACACATTTTTCCGCAATGGCAAGAGGTCGATCTCTCACAACATGACTACCCCCAACAAGCTGTTCCGCATCATGCAGAACGGAACTATCCTCTACACCATGAGGTAACAGTGCTGGACAGTGAGATTCAAACCTAGCCAAGACCGGAATAGAGCACAGACCTGGAAAACAAATTAGATGAACAGGCATCCAAGAATATGCACAGACATGAAAAGAAACAGCGTGCCATTCCAAAAACAAGATATGTGCCATCTGATACTGAAAACAGCCCTGGAAAGTGATTCAAACAAACATGACTCCAGCTTTGTTCCAAAAGGAGATATGCAGAATGAAAAAAAAGCCCCTAGAGTCAATAATGGCACAAAAACAGATTTTTTTGTTTTTAACTAGATCATCTAAGTGGATGAACTCTAAAACATTTAAAAGTAAATAAAAAGGCTTTATCTAAGAAAATTTGTAAACTATATTACAATAAAGGGATGCCACCTTTATCTACATTACAGATTTTATGAGGGTGGGGTGGGGGGCTATAGACAAGATGGCAGACACAAACCAACTTGTTTTTTTTATTGTTTTTTTTTTTTTTACATATATGAAGTAGTGCTACATTTATTGGTTCACTGGCTGAAAAGAAAATACATTCGAAGGCAATAGATGTTTAAATAACAGATAAGCTAACTGTAGTTTTGTGAGTATAATGATGCAGTTTCTACAGTCTCAGCTTGAATTTTGTCCTTGTGTTAGCTTTGGGTAAAAGATCTAAACTTTTTCTGAATTACTTCTTCTTAAAGTTTTTTTTTATTTTTTTTTTTAAAAGTAGTTTAACTTGAATCATTTCATTTGGGATCAGTTTCCCCCCCTTCGTCTGTGAGCCTGAGAAATTTCCTCAAAGCTCTGAGCTGCTTATTAGCTGTGAGTTCTTGTATAAACTGTCTCTCTGGTAAACAAGAATATTATAACAACATTGTAGAACTGAATAACCTAAGTCATTTATTACATTAACAATAAAACCAATATAATATCACTGGAAATGTCTTAACAACTAAGGATATTATTAAGATGTTGTGTTCTGTGAATTTTATAACTTGAATAATTCCAAAGAATCAAATGTGTTTTACAAGTAAATAAACAAATAAATAAAATAAAATAAATACAAATAGAAAATAACATTAAGTTGTTATTAAAAATAAGTTATGAAAATATGTAAGTATATGTTTTACTTATGAGCAGACAACAAACATGGGATTCTTCCTCTGCCATTAAAAATAAATAAATAAATAAAAACATCCTTTGTGAAATGTGTTATCCACGGTTGTCCTTCGCCAAGTTGTGTGTTCACCGCAGTGAAATGGTCTTGCAGGTTTTAGGTCATCTATGTTACCAAAAATATTGTATAATCCTATATTCTGTACTTGTTTTTTGCTATAATGCTGAATGGCACCACACCAGACCCAGCTTGAAAGAGCAGTGTTTATAAAGCTAGTATGAAATATAAATCATACACTTAATTAAACTGTTTTCTATTCCTACAGATTAACTATAAATGCAGAGTGCCCCATGCGTCTGATGAACTTCCCCATGGACGGCCATGCCTGCCCACTTAAGTTTGGGAGTTGTGAGTTAGTTTTTTTTTCAGCCTTACTCACCCGACAGATGGTGTCACTTTCAATCACTGATTACTCTGTCACTGAGCAGATGACTGACAAGATATCGTCAAAGATCTTAATTTGAAATGCCATACATATGTGTGTCTGTGTGTGTGAATTTTTGAAAGTTTTCATTTTTAATCGCCCTTTTTATCCATGCTGTCTAGATGCTTACCCCATCAGTGAAATTGTGTACACATGGAAGAAAGGTCCTCTGTCGTCTGTTGAAGTGCCACAAGAATCATCCAGTTTGCTGCAGTATGACCTTATTGGTCAGACAGTTTCCAGTGAGAGACTAAAATCCAATACAGGTGAGCAGATGTTTAACATCACCTGTCATAAAGAGTGTGCAGTGGTCACTGTGTTAAAACTAAAACCTGCTAAGGACACTTCAGTGAATCAGTGAACTCTTTACCATTACATGTTTGTGGAATGTTATGTCATGCATGAACTTGCATTCTTTTTAAAAATTTCATCATAAATAGAACAATACTTTTCACCAGTCAGTATTAAAAGACTGGTGTATTCATCAGATGGCAACCATGTCAAGTAAATTCTCAGCATTGACAAATCTTTTTGGTATTTACTCTTCCAGGTGAATATGTCATTATGACCGTTCATTTTCACCTGCAAAGGAAAATGGGCTTCTTCTTGATTCAGACTTACATTCCCTGTATCATGACTGTCATCCTGGCCCAAGTCTCATTCTGGATTAATAAGGAATCAGTTCCAGCTCGGACTGTGTTCGGTAAGAGCTCCTTAAATTCTCATACTCATTTAGTGTATAAATTTCAATGTCAGTTTCAATATTTGAACAAAATATCAGAAAAAAGGGATTTTGACGTAGACTCCAGAGCTAACACATTTCACACAGCCATTGACTACTTGGATTGAAATATTTGGAATGCTGAAGAACATTTTCAGTTTGTCTTCCAAAAATAAATTTTTGTAAATATTCAGGTTTTCTCAGTTCTAATTTTGCACCATTGCAGTTAGCTTCAGATTATGACACAACTTGAGTGCCCATTAATTAGCTGAACAAAATAGCCAAGCATACATTATCCATTATTTTGTTGTGGCTTACTTCTTTTTAGTAAAGTATCAAAGTATCAAAAAGCCAAATAATAAACTGTCTGGATTTATTGACTTGCCGCCCACTGGTTGACCCCACAACTCCTGACTCTCACTTTACAAACTTTAAGCAACTATATTTTCTCTGTTTGTTGCACCCTAAATTAAACTGCAATGAGCCGTCTTTAAAATGAAACCTCCTGCAATAGAACAAAGACCACCACAGTCATCACAGTCAGGTTTTACCTTCATTATCTCTATTCCTCCTCCACTATGGTGGAGCTGAATTAATTGGGAATAGATGTCCTTTTTGAAATTGGTCATGCAAGGGCTGAGAGGGGGAGGATGTTTACTTGGCCCTTTTCCGAGCACTCACAGGTTCCGCTTGCTCACATTACATTACGCTACAGTTGCTACCAAGCTCTAGCCTCAGGAGCAGCAAGGGTGAGATACACTGAACAAAAACAGAGATAGACTAAGAGGAATGACAGCAACAGAAAGACAGAAAAAGCACAGATGCAAAAAGTGAGGATAATGTGCAAAAGTGCACAGATTTTGCTATCATTTTTAACTGAATTTCCATTATTTGTAAAACTCAAGATGCAGCTGTGCACAGAAGCAGTGCTAGCCCTTGGTCTTTGGAAACGAGCCAGCGCTCCAACAAGTCTGCATTCTCCTTCAGAGAATAGATCCCCGTCATTAATGTTTGCATGGAAGTTGAAGCCTCATGTAGAAAGCACATCTGTGGCAACTCATTAGCCTCACTCATCCTGCTGTTCTCAATTCACTCAGTACTGGCTGGAATGAAAAGATACAGACAAGCAAAAAAAAAAACGAAACAAACCCAAAAACCTGCTCATTCTCAATCGAGGACAGAGGACACAAGAGATTATGTACAAAACAAGTTGCATTGCAAGTGATGGCCAAAAAGCCACTGCTTGAATAAATTGAATTAACACACAAGTTTTGGGTTGTGACTAAAAGATAGACAGTTTAGTTAAGTTTGAGAAGAACAGATAAGTTATAGGTGACCTATAGGTGTAAGAATATTAAACATACAAAACATGTATTAAGGGAGTTCAAAACAAACAATTATTGTGTCTATGAAGTCATAATTCATTTGTGAACTTTAAACACTTCTTTGACTTCACAAGACATACATTTGCTACAACAACAGAAAACAGTGAATAGCTGTGTGTATTAATCCGATAATCATTATTTGGAAGGTAACCAGAGCTAGTGCACTCTCATTTTCTTCAGATGCATCCTAGGTTGTTTTGTTCTGGAGACAGGCCTGACACTGACAGTGCATTAAACCATACCATATTGCGTGCTGAATTGTCAACAACCTAAGAGCTGAAAGTCCCTTGAGCACAAGTCTTACAGACTTAATTGAGTGTGGCCTAATTTGTACCTTGCTTTTTTTCTTATAAAAGCCCATAAATGCCCCAAGCATTTCATTTCTATCCTGTCTTTATACTGCATCCCTCTCCCTCCCACACTCTTTCTTCCTTTTTCTTTTGCCTCTCCCTCCTACCCTGACAGGCTTTCTTTCCATGTTCCTCCTCCCTTTTGCAGTCATTTAACTGGTGCTTCAGATTTAAACAGTCAGACTGGTTGACTGTTGGAGGAGGTTGCATCTGAGGGTTGTTAGGTTTTACCATCAAAGTGCTGTGTAGAAAATGTTTTTGAGACATTATTAGGTGCATTAAAACCCCCATAAGTTCCTACAATGCTAATGAAAAGTGCACAGCTACAGTGCACATTTGGTAAACCATGGGAACAGTGTTCAATGGCCCTTTATCCCTGCTTGCTTTAGCTTGATGAAAGTGAATTAGATATGTACTTTGGTAATGGGCTATTAAAAGAGATGTTCATTGTCAGCATCTTTATCTGACTTAATAAGGAAGGAATCTGGGTGGGGAAAAGGGAAATTCTTATCTAAGGATTAAGAACTACGGATCATTTCTATTCATGAATTAAGTAGTATTAGGGGCTATGTCTTAAATGTTATATCTAAAATGCACATGTAATGGACCTTTTGTGTGATAAACTACTCTTCTCCCAAATGAAAATTACTTAGAAAAAATAAATAAATAATAATAATAATTATATATATATATATACGTATTGATTTCCTACTAAAAGGAAGTCTGTTAGTCTTAGTCTAAGCTTCAAGTTCATGTTCATTCTTTCTTCTGATCATCTCTCTCCATCATCTTGTCTGTACCTGATATTAGACAAGCAAACAAATATTAGCAAATACCATACAGCCTGGATGTCTTTCTCCAGAATGTTTATAGATATTCGGTCTCTTTTTACCGACGTGCCAATGTGGGGGCAGGGGTTAGTCTGCTTATGGACAGATTAGCATTCCCTCAAGTGACTTTTTGGCAACACTTTCTGATTTGAAATGCCACATTCTAGTTATATGCCATAAAACAGGACTGCTGCCACATGTTAAAAATATTCCATGGGAAAAATATGCTCTGCTTGGCTCTGTTATTTTCTTGTTACATCATATACACACATATTTTTATCAAAGATTTATGACATCAACATCTTAACTAGTGTTACACAGTATCTTTTGTCGTATGATGTGCAATGTGCCTTTTTTTAAAAGTATATCTTTCTCTATAAATATTAATAACACGATGCTACGATTTCGATTGGGACCTGGAGGTGCAGGATTAGAAATGAACAGCTGAAATGAACAGAAAAGAACAGCTCAGGTTCAGTAATTCGGAGGGAAAGTAAGAGAAAAGGATGAGATGGTATGAATATGAGAAGAGGAGGGACACGGGGTATATTGGAGAAAAGATCTTAAAGATGGAGCTGCTAAGCAAAAGGAAAAAAGGAAGACCACAGAGATGGTTCATATATATGTAGCAAACGAGGATATGCAGAGAGTAGGGATGATAGAATTGGATATAAGTGATGAGATGAAATTGAAGCAGATGATCCATTAGCAACCCCTAAAGGAAGCAGCTGAAGAAGAAGATGTATAAATGTGTATGTCAAGTTAGCTTATTATGATATTTATCAGTAACTCGTACAAGTCCATCATGATGGTTTGTTTGCAGTTTCATCATGGATATTGCTGATACTATTGATATTTTGATGAAAGTATAAATTTGAAATCTCAAATTTAGCAACTGCATGAAGAAACTGTAAGATTTTTCCCAATATTTAGGTTAACAATCATTGTTAACCTAAATTGTTAACTTTTTTGTTCTTTAGGAACAAATGTCCCAGTATTGCATATTTGTGTGTGGATTGTTACTGTCAGTGTCTTTAATGTTTTTACTTTTTGAAAAGCAATGAACACCTAAACATCCAGTTTTCTCAAATCCGTCTTTACAGAAGAGCTTCAACTTTGCACTGTTAGTGGGTTTGCTCGTGAACTGCTTATCCTGATCCTTCCACATCATTTCTGCTGGATGCATATCAGAACCTTGATGATTCCAAAAATAATCTTTCTTTTACTACAAAAACTTTTTGGTAGAACGACCAATCAGCATTTGTTTACTGGTTGTCTTTTTCTTTCACGTTTTCTCTGGTAAAATTAAGAATTTATTGTTTCATCACTAATGGCAAGCTGCCCTGGACCAGATGCACCAAAACATGCCCAAACTACAATACTCCCACCACCATGTTTCACAGATGGGATAAGGTTCCTTTGCTGGAATGCAGTGTTCTCCTTTCTCCAAACAGAAACTTCTCATTTCAACCAGAAAGCTCGATTTTTGACTCATATACATCCAATAAAATGTGTTCAGACAATCCTTTGGCCCTCTGTTTGAACAGCAGTGCTTTCTCTTTAAAATCCTGACATACGTGAAATAGTTTTTTTTTCTCTTTTTTGGTGTTAAACACCATTGTAATAAGTGGTGTGAAGATTTGGGTAAAATGATAAATGATTTCTAAGATTTGATCTACAGATTTTGAGAAAAAAAAGGCTCAATTTAAACAGGCAGGCTCAGCATCCTTATTTAACAATATATCTACTGCTGTCTCCTTCCCATATGCAGGTATCACCACTGTCTTGACGATGACAACACTCAGCATCAGTGCCCGCCACTCACTCCCTAAAGTCTCCTATGCCACAGCCATGGATTGGTTCATTGCTGTTTGCTTTGCCTTTGTCTTCTCCGCCCTGATTGAGTTTGCCGCCGTCAACTACTTCTCCACCTTACAGGCCAACAGGGAGCACCGGAAAGCAGCGGCCATGAAGGCAGCAGCTCAGGAGGCAGCAACTGCGGCCGCTGCTCCCGCTGTGGCCGCAGGGAATGACGTAGAGGTGTCCTCAGTAAGTCTAGCTCACCTTTTCAAACTTCTGTTTACATGTATCAACAAATATTCTGATAATTAGCTAGTTGAAGATGACTAGCCTGCTGTTGTTTCTTTCAAATAAAACATCTTAATATCACTTAATATCACAAAAGTAGAGAAATGCCACCTTTACTTTTTTGCTTTTCTTTACTTAAACCAGTAAAGGACATGCAGAAAGTGATGGTATAGTATTAGCTCCAGCTTTAAACATTAGAAATTGGTTAATCCCAGCAAATGAATGAAGCATGGGATTTAAAAAATGTGGCTCAGTAACATCTGGCTAATACTAAGCAAAGTGTATTTATGTATTTTTTTGCACTAATTGCTCTGTGAAATGGCTTGCACATATTGATATGCCCCTATTTGAATTACACAAATTCTAGAAATTTACTTATTAGTTTTGGTTTTTCTGAATTATAAATCAAGGAAGGTGGGAAGCAGTTTTTTTTTGTGAAGTATGAGTCATTTGTTTGGGAAGGGCTAAAAACGCAAAAATGAGGTGGCCAAAAGTGCTTGTGGTTCTAAGGTTGAGGTATATAACATGCGCATTATGACATCATCTCTATATATTGCATATCAGGTTCTTCTCCCTAATCATTGTGTTTATTTAGATCTGAGGTTTGACTTGACTTCTGGTATCTTGCTAAGCTTCTGTATTTTTTTTTCATCCTGTCTAGCTTGTGTTTGTCTCTCTTTAGCTGACGAAATCCATTCTTTGCTCTGTGCTGTTATATAACAATTTCAGCGTTTCATTCTTTTCACAGTTTATGTTGGCTCTGTCAGCATGACATAAGCACATCTGTGTGGCAAACGGAGAGCAGTAGATAAAAAAAAATAGTAATTGTGTTAAAAAAGGCGAGTACTACAATATGCAACCTTTTTGCTTAACTTACGTTGAGTCTAATTCTTGAATTCTGAATTGTCTAATCCTGAGTTAGAAAAGAGTTTGCTGAAAAAGACCTGAATTACCTGAACACCTGAATTTTTTTAGCTAACTCTGACTATATAAAAGTGTCTGACGAAGTTGTATGTATAATAAAAAAAGCCATTGTTAACTGAGCTCTGATGCAATGATTCATGATGGCAGTGATATAAAGAGCAGAGCTGTCATTTTATTCCAAGGAACTTGAAAAACAGCAATGAATCACACAACTTGAAATGTAATTATTCAAATTTAGTTCAATTCATTTCTGATATTTACAATAGGAGTTATCTTAGAGCACTCTACACTGTAAAGCCATACTGTAGGAAAAATAGTACTCCCTATGAGAACCCACGTGGGGAGAAAACACATATTCGAACTATATTCTGTCTATAGTGTAAAATGATTTAAACCACATTTACTTCAGTTTTATGATCGTATAGTTGTTTCAGCTTCATGCCAGCGATGACAAGAATATTTCATCACTGTGACCGATATCTCCATGACAAATGATTGTTCATTGATCAATGTTTAAAGCTTAGTCTGTACTTATTGCCTCAACACAGTGTGCATCAAAAGCCATGTCACTACCGGAGCCACACACTTTGATGTCTTTTTTGACTAGTTCTACAACTCCTGTTATTTGTGCCATTTTTTAGAGAATGCTCCATGGACACACAAATGCAAAAAGAGTTAGCGGGAGTTTTGAGTCTGTATCCATCATATAGCAGAAGACTCCTACATGGGCCAGTATTTCTTGGAGGGATACAATTACAGCAATTTGAAAGCATCAGACTTTCTACAGAGCAATGTGATGGATCACACAATTGTGCTTGTGTCCGAAAACTGCTTTATTAAATCTTAAAGGCCGCTTTGAAGGAGAAAGAGCAGGTAAAAATGGTTGTTTGAGCTCTGGTTGCTCCAGTCTGCATGCCAAATATCCTTGGTCAAGATACTGACCCCAAGTTGCTCTCCAATGCATCCATAAGAGTAAGAACTTCTATGAATTTTAGATAAAAACACTTACCAAAAAGAAAAAAAATCATAGGAAAATGTACTTGAATGAATGGGGGTGAATAAGGCAAGTTGTATAAAGCACTTTAAGAAAAGTGGTATATAGTCCATAATGGTAGTCCATTTACCAACCACTTTCATTTTCATATTTGTTGTTTATCCTCTGTTTAGTGAAGATTTAGTTTGCATTTCAATTTATTAATATTAGAAATGTTCCCATTTTAGTGTTATGGCAGATTCGTGTTTTTGTTCACTTTATTTTAAACAGCCTTTCAATTTAAAGAACTTTTTTTTTGATACGTGAGTGTTGTCTTCAGTCGAATATCTAATAAAAAGAACAATAACAATATTTTAAAAAATGTTTAACAGCAAAGACTTTCAGCAAAGACATTCAACAAATATAATAAACAGAAACATAAGAGAAATACCAAATTACCTGAAAAAAATCTTAAATTTTTGTTTGAATGTAAATGAGAAAGGCAGGCTTTAACAAGTCTAGACCATGCCAAGTCCCTGCTGCATACATGAAGTAATCATGTCAATGCAGTGTTTGTGATATATTGTGAAATTCTGCAAAGAAAATTAAAGGTTGTTCTGTGAGCAATGGGAGACCTTACCCCTGCTTTAGCATGTTGGTCCTGCTTGACAAGAATAGATTTGATTCTACTCTTAACCTTTTTCCCCTAAATTCTTTCTGTCGTATTTTTTGCTGACAGAACAAATATGACATTTGCCACATCTATAATGTAAATAGAACACAATACATGAAAAATCACAAAATCATGCTTTTGTTTGCAATTTATCCAATGCTTCTATCTCACCCTTTTGATCATTTAAATGTTACAATATTGCTTTCCCCTGCTTCCTCTCTCTGCTCTATGCTACTATTGTAAGACCTCTATTCTCTACTTCACACACACACACACACACACACACACACACACACACACACACACACACACACACACACACACACACACACACACACAGATCTCCCTTCTGTGTCTCCTGCTACTTTTGCTTGAATGTGCTGTCCACACATAAACAGTGAAACATAACAACCTTCACTTTTTCCAGTTTTGCACTCACATAACTCACATGCAGATATTATCTGCAACACACACCTAACCAACCCGTGTATATACATCATCGGCAACAAACGATGTCCCCTGCATCCATATAGTTCACTCATCGCTTTCAACAATGCCTTATCTATCCATCTAGCTACAGTATATCATCCATCCAGCCCTTTCTTCCAGTCCTTTATTCATCCCTGTAACTGTGTGATAACCACAGTGAGTGACACGGGGAGACAGCCAGTGGCTCAGTGAATGATGTTGCTGCCGATTATGTAAGAGCCATAGATTAAGGGAATATCCAGCATATCAGTGCACGCTCACAAGAAGGAGGGCAACCACCACCACAATAAAGCAGAGAGGGGGCTGAGAAAGCAGGCACAGTCCATTTAAAAAAATAAATAAATAAAAAAATTTTTTATATGGAACAAGATGGAGAGATGGATGATGGGCCAGTGTGGTTTGTTTTTTGTGTTTTGTGTGAGTGTGCATTCGTGTGTGTGTGTGTGTGTGTGTGTGTATGCATTAAAGTTACACTGAGAGGAGAAACAGAGTGGGAGGGATGCATCATGGAAAATGACTGCTTTCACCAAATATGTAGGAGGAAAGACTCTTTATTACATAGAAAAAAAACACAACAATGGCGTATCACTGGGAATAGAAATAGCCATCTACCAGTCACGATTTAAAAGACCACGACCTGTTATGACTGTCATGTAAAACACAGCAGGCATGGAAACCTCACAAAAGCAAATTGGTTCAGTTAATGAATCAAATATACAACTGTAAACATAATGGGGGATCGAGTGTTTGTCAGTGTGAGTAACGGGTGCTGAATGCATTTCAGTGGTGAGTAGGTGGTGCAGTATTTAGTGCTGGAAATAAAGAAAATATTTTTTTCATATTAAGAGAAAAAAATAAGGTGAGAGATAGAAAGATGTGATCTTTATGCAGAGGTTGAGCCACGGGTACTTGCAATCACAGAATTTGAAAAGATTGCTTAGGCGATGAGACACTGATTAAATCAGGACATTTTTAAGGAAATTCTTTTGCTGTCCTGTCGGCTTAATAACTAGACTGAAAGAGAGGATTTTCAGGTTCAGGGATCAACACTAACTAAAAAGTAGCGTCATGGATGGTGCATAACATTTTGACTTTTGTTGCCAAGATGTCAGGTCTCTCTTGGAAATGAGATTTTTTGATCTCAATGAGATTTTTTTTTTACCTGAATAAATGAAGGACTAATAAAAAAATTGTAATGAAGTAACACTTGTTGAATGCACTGATTACAGGTATTTATTTAGAAACTTCTATTTCTACATCATCTAGCAGTCTTCCACCCCCCACCCCCTATTTTTCTATGTTTATAGCTAACTCTATAATAATTCAGTATGTGAAACATGACCATAAATATCCACCTTTATCAACGGTATTATTAAATGATAATTTAGTCATGGTAATTCGATGGACATCCAGTTTTTGGAGAAAATTCTGCTGTGAAAAACACTGAACAACTGTTATCTTTCAGTCAACATGAGACAGGAAATAATCAAACCACCAGGGACCGGCGCTACATGAAGCTTACATCTCTAGCCTATTCATTTTTTATTCAGCACAGTTAAAGTTTCCAAGCCTAAAATGACTGCCTGCCAGGCTTAATCATTGGGAAATTTTGTATTTTTAAGAACTTTTTAGAAACAAGCTACAACCATTAAGCCAGTTAATGTATGTCATTAGCCTACTTTCACTTCCCATAATGGCAGTAGTGTAGGAAAGTTAAGTAACTTTCCCACACACTATGCAGAACTGCATGCCTCCCACTGTTTCCCACCAACTCTTTATTGAAATTTTCAGAAGTCATACTAGTAGCAGTTTTGCAATGTAATTTAGTCATGTAAATTAATTTAGTCATCTAAAATGTGCAACTGTGCCTTAAACTGTGCAATCACCTTGAGCAACCATGCTATGATTCAAAGAAGTCACCTGAATTCACTTCGCCTAGGGCAAGATCTCTGTGTTACTGAATTTGCGAGGTTAAAAGAGTTATGTTGTCACCAGTGTTTTTGAAGGCTTTGATATATGTGTGAACAATTTGTTTCTTATCCTTATTTCTCTGCCAGTAAGCTCTTGGTACTGTACATAAAAGTTAAAAAAACAAAACAAAACAAAAAACAGTTTCGTGAACCCTTTGTGAGATTAATATGGTCTAAATGTGCAAAATGACAATGATCAGGAAATTTTTTCTCTTTTCATTCATTTATCTGTATCCTTCGATGGTTCATCTTATTGGATCATAATTGTTGTGTGTGACTGTGTGTGTAATATCCATGGCTTTTAATTTGTAATAATTATTTACATATATTCACCCACTTACATCCAAACACCCACAGAGATGAGGCTCCTTAGTGGACAGAAAGTGAAATCGTGCTGTCTATTAACCCCTTCGCGCACTATGAAACATAAACACACTCGTGTGTAGCTCTTAACCTGCTCTACTCACGGAGACCCACATCCAAACATGATCCATATATCCGTTAGTCAGCACCCAACCTTTCTGTGAGTCTGTTGAAAACTAGAGCAGTGAATGAGGGACAAGGACTTGATCTCCCATGAGATTTAAGAGGAAGCCAAGAGATCCTGTTGTCATCATGAGCAATAGCTTGTCATTTGGCTCAACTGCAGACATGTGCAGTACACCATGCAGAAGTAATGCATGCGGTGTGTGTACTCACTGCATGGTCTTACCTAAAAGGGAAACAGAAACAGGTAGCTGACATTTGAAGCTACAGCCTGGTGTTGTGAAGCATACAGTACACCACTCACAGATAAGAGGATACACTATTATTCACTGAAGAGTGAACTTAACCTCGAAAATGACTGGTGGTAATGGTGGTTAGATCATCTGGACCTGCTCTCTCTCTCACAGCCCTTCCCCAGTGTTGCTATAGAATTTTACAGAGCTTGATATATTCATCAAGCCCATAATAATACAGCTTAAAGAGAATAGAAAGGTTTAAAATGCCGCTCAAACATTAGCTTTTTTTTATCTTTGTCCAACACCTCCATATCAAATGTTTGTGACTTGCACTCCTGTGAACTTCCTCAAATGATAAACACATTTAAACCCCCAGACGTATAATATATTAAGATTTTACAGCATGATTGCACTACTCAGCATAGCTGCCATGGAATGACTGACAAATATTTTATATTTAATTTGATTCAGTATTAATGTTGTTAATAACTCTAATTTAACTGCTAATGTATTTTTAGACTGGCCACCATGGATTTTATTTATTTATTTATTTTTTGGAATGTTTCCCCTAAGCCTTAGGATTGTAACAGTTTAATAGTTTCTTAACCTGTAGAGGAGCATGTAATCCTGTAGCCTCACAAATCCTGCCTAAATCTCACAAGTTCAGATTTTGTTCCAAGACTGCCAAAAAATATCCACACTGAAGTGAGAAACACTGAATGCTTTAGTAAACTACTAGGAGTTTTTCCCCCAAAATAAAATGTAAAGAACTGTTCAAACTCTGCACTGCAATAAATGTTGTTCTAGAAACTTGCAAATTTAACAAGGAATATATTTGAAATTTCCATGTAAACAAAAAGTGTCCTATAAAGCATAAATATGGCACAAAACAGCATATTTAAAATAAATATTAAATTATATTATTTCAAGTTCAGTGCTTACTCAGTGAAGCTGCTGATCAATAAAAGGCCATCGTGAAATGACTGTATTTTTTTATGCTGAAATTTGTTCCTTTAAAAGGGAACGTGTTCTTTCTCACTTACTCTACCTGGAGGCAACACATTGTTACTTGACCCATTTTCCAGATGTACACTCCCCGTACTTTCTGTACACATACTGTATATGATTTACAACTATTGGAGCAGGGAGCATGTGTTGCGATCACACTAGTTTACTCAAAGTTGATGAGGCGTGAGAAACCCATGCGTCAATATATTGAGCTTCTTTTGTTTAATATGGTTTGTTTGCCTCCCACAACTACACCAGCCTTGACAGAATGGGCTGAAGTTTCAATCAAAATCAAAACATCATTGATTTTCTTTGCTGGGTGTAATTACTGTGATACTCATACTCATTTTAGATATAGATCATATGTTCCATAGGACATATGGACTTATCTACTTACAGTAGTTTAAACACACCACTATCATCAGAATGGATTTTTCCTTTTTTCCTTATTTCCTCCCTTAACACTAACTAGCATTGATGTTATAAGATACTGACATTATAACATTTTGTTTTTCCCTGGTCTTTACTTTGTATCGTTCTTATTTTCCTCTCCAAGGTGGATGCCAGTAGTGTGCTTAAGAAGAGGATGAACTCCACCCCGATGTTTGAGCGTCCTGCCAAGACATTTCCCAACCCACCGGTCAATGCCCAAGCATTCCTCCAGCAAGGTTCGGCTGTACCAGCCAACAATGTTCTGACTGGCACCAGCATCATCGACAAATACTCACGCATCCTTTTCCCCCTTTCGTTTGGCGCCTTCAACCTGGTCTACTGGATTGTCTATCTTACCAAGGACACAATGGAGATGTCCAGGTGAACAGATGGCATGTTGTTACAAATGATTCCAGCATTTGTTTTTATGTGTTTGTAGAGAGACAACAAACAGATTTTAGGATGACTACTGCCTTGCTGAATATAACTGAATGGGTTTTTCCCCCCCCACTCGGCCATAAAAGCCTGATGGGATATTGTCGGCAACCTGCTGGGTGGGTGGGTGGGCGGGCAGGCGGCGTCGACACCCAAATTTGTGAATGCAATAACTTGAGAACAACGCAACATAGTAGTATCAAATTAGCACCATTGGTACATCTACTAAAATCTCACACAAGTTTGAATCTCACAGATCTCAGCCTCAAGGTCAAGGTCAGAGGTCAAGCATTAACTTGACTACTACAAAACAAATGTACAGCTTCTGTACTTATATAAGATATAATGATATATGGAATGTTCATCAAATTATTGACATATGAACAAGAAAATTATTTGCACTTTACATTACTGCTTGGTAACAGTGTGGTAATAATAGAGTAATAAGGTGGAAATGACAAGGTAATAATATGGAAATAGGAGTTTACTATGACTTAAATACAAATTAATATCAAAGTAATAACTAAGCAATATCATGCATAATCAGCAGCTTTAGCTGAGTAATAGAGTAATAGTAATAGCTGAGTAATAATAATATTGGGTGAGAAGGTGGAGTCTGAAGGAGCAGTGAGGACGTTGGATGGGAAACTGCAGGTTTAGTTATTTTGCTACTTTCATATTAATACCACACTACCACAGTATTACCAAACTGTAATAGAAAGTCTTTTCTCTGTCAAGTTTGCATGCTGAGGTTCTCACACGCAGTTGGTGTTAGTCTTTTCATCAGTTACAATTACCTACTTTGATTCCAGATCTTCATAATAAACTTGAAGAGTCAATATGTGGTAAATTTTAAAAGACGCAAAACATGCTTTTTGCTCAAAAAAGGCTCATAAGGTTCCACAATATGACTGTGTAATCTGGTTTATGTCCCCACAACAATAATACAATACACATACATGCATACACATTTCTCACAAACAAGAAAAATGTGAGAGTTTTGGATGAAAAGAAAGGCAGTATGCTGATTATGTGGGCAGGTGGTTCTGGAAGTTAACATTTTGCTAAGTCTCCAAGTGTGTGAGAAATAGCTTATATTGTCTTCCTTATTGGTGGATTTTGTTGCGCTTAGGGACCTTTGGCTATTGAGCAAAATATAACTGAAAATATACCCATCTGTGTTCTAAAGTTTGTCTGCTGTGTGTGTGTGTACTTGTGTGTTTGTATATCAATGGGTCTCTGTGTGTAAGAGATAAAGGAAGTTAGAGACAGAGAGAGAAAACAGAATATGGGAATGTGAAGTATTCATTATATATATTGTTTTACATTTTTTTTCCTTTCTTCATTGTGCATTTGCTATTCTGGAAGGGCATATATTATTCATCAAATACACAAAGATCTTTCAACTTACAGAGAATTTTTCCAATATGACTTTTTCCAAACGTGTTAGAGACTGGTCACGGGGTTGATACTGAACGGACTGCATTATTTACAGGTTTTATGAGTATGTACTTTCAATACATAATGAATTCTTGCCCAAATAGGATGAACATGCAATTATCTTCTGTTTCTCTTAGCAACATTACTAAAAATATATCTCCTAGCCATCATTTGCCATGCATAGATTGCACTTGTAAACAGGCATAATAGCTGTGTGCAAAGCTTTAATGAGCCATGCCTGTCCAAGCCAGAGAAAATAAAGAAAAAATAATTAATGTATAATTGCTTGACCTCTTCATAAAGTCGTAATTCTCTTATATTTGGACAAAACTGTGCAATATCTGTAATGGCCAGCAGGGGTTGGCTCTCCTATCTTAAAACAAGTCAAAGTGTAGAGAAGACTAGGATAAAAGTAGCCTAATTCACGCATAATTTATTGTCTCAGTCAACATTTCACTAATGACTTAATGGTCTCATTTGGGAATTTCAAGTCATATTGAATGCAAAATTAACTTTATGTTGAATCTGCAGTCACATTAAGTGAAATATATGGTAAAAAGGGACCGCTTGCTCTCTTTATAATTGGCAACGTCATTAATCTACCAGAAAACAACCCTTCTACTCACTTGATCTGTGACCTCAGTAAACACTTTCCTGATAGGTTTATTATCTCAAATGCTAATTTAATGTCTTATTAAAACTTTAATTTATAGTCTAATGAAAATTTAAAGTTTGTTATTGAATCATGCTAACTTTTTTAATCAATCCACTTTTTAACCTCCTAAGACCGAACTCTTCCACTGCATGGATTTTTAATTTCTCTTTGATATTTGGACATATTGGGCCCGATGAATGTAAAAACAAAGATTTACCAGATTTTTGTTTTTTGCCTTATTTTTGTTTTTAAGAAAAATGAGAGCCACATATGAGCATATTCGTTTAAAATTTTCATAGAACAGTAGCAGTATAATGTCCTCGTAAGTAGATATCAGGACCTTGTAGAGCAAAATTCAGTATTTTGGTCTAAATAACCCAAAATGTGATTTCCACATATGTGGACACCAGGTCCTGATCAGACACACACTCTGTATGATGATCTTTTCTTTGCTGTTTGCTAACTAAGCTCCCACTAATATTTAGTTTTTTTTTAATTTTTGTTCAAATTTTCATACAAAATGTGATCTCAAAGAAATCCTTTAGCTTTTTGTCAAACATCAGGATTTCTACATATTGAATTCAGCGAAGGCGACAGCTTTCAAACAATACACCTTAAGCTTACACTAAATCAGTTTAGTAAACAGCATCAAATCATATATAGGATGTGACTTGAAACAGCAACTTGAGAGGCTAATACTCACAACAGACTATATTATGAATACTTATAGTACAACATAGTAAACTAAATCTGAATGTATTTTTCTGTTTTTTCAGGTGCTGTCTTTTAAATTGTATACTGCACATAACTTACAGTTATTGCTGATATACACAGCAGTCGTGCTGCGTCTTGGCTTTGTTATTGCTAAAGCACAAATAGCGCTATGGTTCTTTTGATGACATCATGAGATGCATTGTGCTCTCTTATATTACATCTATAGCTCCCGTATGACACTTTGATAGGATGTTGAGATTTATACTAGTTAGAGATTAAAAGGCTCACTTTATTGTGTATGTGTGCAACTTAGTGTGCTTGATTTGTCCCGGCCATATACTCTAAACAAATGTGTCTGCCTGGTTGTGCATTTATGTTCACACTATCGATATGCACACTATCAATGTGCATCAACACTTCTGACTCTGGGGCTTTTCAACTGTGTGGGTTCAGCTCCTTTTATTCTCCTTTCTTGCTCTTTCTCTAAAAAGAGAAAAGCCCCCTGGCATGAGCTGAGACAAGTCAGATGACATGACAGTGTTGGAAGGGATCAGGATAGCTGTGTGTGACTAACCCGCTTAGTGACACTCTCCTAACTGTTTCTGTTAATTGATAGGAACTGCAAGCTTGAAAGAAGATCCTGACAAACGTCCTGTAGAAAAATTGCAGAGTGACAGCATTTCAGCTCTGGGAATCAGGAGCAATTAAAAATAAGAAAATGGCATATAATAAAGTATGCATGTGTTTCTTTTGGAATTCATGTGCATATGTCACAGAGGAATTTCTTCACATACAGTGCATTTAAGTGTGACTGAGAAAGTGCAGTGAGTGGGGAGGATTGATGAAAGGCAAGGAGGAGGTGATACAATACACAGAGCCCCAGGGCTAATAACTGAAACCCCCAGTGGTCTTAGAAGCAGCTAGTGCAAAGAACAAGTATAACCACAGGTTGTCATTCTGATCGATAACGGCTACATGACTGTAAGAGTTGAATCGTCTAACATCGACAAAAACTGCCACTGAACACGCTTGCTGCAGGTGGTGTTGTAGAGATGGTTCTTATATTCATCCTGAGAAAGATTAGAAGGTCTTCTCCAATACAGAACATCTCATGTCTGAAATCCTACTTGCGAACTTGGCAAGTCAGCAGAAGACAACAACCGCAAACAGACCCTTTTTGGGGAAAATAATCTTATTGACAGTGATATGCTGCGAAGAGATGCACCTGTTAAAATGTTATCCATTTTTTCAGCAGTAGATATTACATCTTTGGAACAAAATTACTTCTTTTCAAATCACAGTGGGTCTCAGAGGCAGCAATAAGTTACTATCGGGCTTGGCAAGGGAATAGAGTTCCTGGCAGGATGATCAGAGGTTTTTGGTGTGCTCGTCATGTCAGGAGCTGGGCAGTTATCTGCTGAGATGACTCTAAAAAGTAACAGTACTGCACCTCAATCCATTCCATGAAAATAGACAAGTGCAGATAAAAACTCACAACGCTTTTGTTGACATAATGATGATTTCTAAAACACTAAAAACAGTCATAAAACATTTCTTGGCATGCATTTTGTTATTATGAAATATATATAATTGCTTGATAATTCACTTTTGGCATCTTGCCAACAGACTCACCCAAATGATAATCTTTACAAGTAAAATCACACTGAAATTTGCTGCCAATCTTTATGCCACATGGAGGTAAACATGAATAAAGAGGTTATAAAGCTGCCAACAGTTGACTTTTCTCCATAAATAAACTGTTTGGTATTGTAAAGTTCACCCTTTTCTCAATTAAACATGCTGATTATCAGCATGGATGAAGGGAAACATATCAACGTGGGTGAGAACCTGAATGGTGAATTGCATTTTTGCCTAATTTGCTTGTTGCCTGGGATAATTGAGATATATTTGGCTGATATTTTGAGTTGTGGCTAAAGTGGTGCAAACACTGCCTAAGATTATAAGTTAAATTGCAGTTAAAATAGCGGGAGCGCTATAGATTATGACTGAAACACGGTCCACTGCACAATACTTTCACAGTTAACACTTTACATTTCTTTGCTCTTGTGTGCAGCACCACCTACACTAGTAACCTCTTGATTCTCAGTAAGACCCACATGAATCCAAATATTGTATCCATTAAATGAAAGTGAGCAGCTCTTTTCATTTCAGAGAAATAAATATACAACTCCAGCGGCCCTAACTGAAAGCAGATAGCTGTGCAAGCAACAGACCCTTTTTCTCTCTTTGTGTCTTTGCTTTTTTATTGAAGGGCCTCCTGCAAAGATGAGGTGAACCAAAAGAAAAGATTTTGGTCTGCTGTGAGTGTATATGCAGGTGGATTTGTGTGCAAGTGTGTGTCTACTTCAGTGAGGATACAGGCATACAAGTGTATAAATGTGCCATGGCAGCAGTGCCTACCGACTGCAGGCTATTTTAATGAATAGCACCATTCAGGGCGAGACATGAAGGAAACAAATTTGCTGAAAACACTTCCTTCCGTGAAGGGCCCCAGCTGGTTGGTTGACTGGTTGCTGGCTGCCTAGCAGGCTAAATGGTGTATGTGTGTCAGAGTGGGTACAGCAGGCGATAAGCCTTGCTCCTCTTTATTGGCCATCAGAGTTCCAGGCTTGAAAAAACAACTTCCCTATTGTTGCTCATAAATCAAAACCACTAAATGCTCTTTCAAACTCAATTCCTATTTTCGACTGCAGGGCCATAGCCATAGCTTTGGTGTAATGATCATTCAATTACAGGCCACTCATACAGGGAGTAGAGAAGACCGATATAAACAGTGATCCCCTATCTATCATTTTTCTCTCCTGGGTCTTGTGAGAACTGTTTACATCTGCCTTTGTCTGTCAGGCGTTTATCACACATCTACCTTTGTTTGCATGGAAGCCTGTGTGCACACTCATGCAGAAAAAAAACACAAGCATTTACAAATCTTAATAGGATAATTTGTTATCAAACAAGAAATCTGTTCTCTTTTTTCTTTTTTTCGCATCGTCTATCACCCCTTGCTCCCATTTGCTTTTTCTATTTCTTACTCTATCTAGTGTCACTCTTTTAAACGCTTCCTTTCTCAGTCACCATCTCTCCACTATATTACCACATCTTCCACTCTGCCATGGTGCACAGTCTGCAGTCTGAATCTTCCTTGATAAAACGGGACAGCCTGACAGGCTAAGCAGAGTGCTGTCCCTCTACCTCATTTTCTCAGCATTAATCACCCAGGCTTTCAACTGCAAAGAAGAGACTTGTCTCTGTGGGACTCTCCCAGTGCTTTGCTGATCAGTCCTCTTTAGCAACTGTACAGATGCAAATTTGTCATTTGGTTAGTTGAACAAATGCAGTTAATAAGGAAAGGCAGCCTTGTTTTAAGATAAATGGTGCTGTTACCAAAAGGTCACAAGTTCACTTCCTTTAAGAGCCTGTCTGCAGTTCTTTGACCTGTCAGTGCACCCTAGAACAAGACTGATGATTCATTTCAAGTCAAACTCTTTGAATCTTTTTCTTAAAGACATATGAATTGTTTTGACAGTAAAATATTGTGAGAATGGAATGACAAATGTCGTAGCAAATGTCACATATATAATTTCTGTCACCTGGACACATGCATATTGCAAATTGTTTTGTTTAATCTATGCAGTGTTCCCAGGGGTCGCCAAGTGGGCTTTGCCAAGTGGAGGTAGTGTAGGTAAGGGGGCAAAAGGGGAAAAAGACTCATTTACAACTAAGTCTTACAATAATTTTGTAGGGTGTATTCATATAAATGTTGCTCCTTCTTTAGGTTTTCCTTTGCTCTTTGTCGTACATGCTACATAGTATATGCAGGAGTTAAGTGAAATATTGTATTATGGCTGCTTTCCAAAACCTAGCCTTTGTAAACTTGGAAATTGAGAAGAGTTGCTAAACAAATTCAAATTCAACTCGACCTCATCTCGAAACAAGTCCTGTTACTTAGCAACGACAATGAATCAAATTTGGGGCAGTTATTTTAGTAATTATTTTGAAACATTCTCAAAATTACCCTTCATTTCAATGGTCAGGGGACCATAAAAAATATCCAAATCCAATCGAATATACTTAAACATTTCTTGACTTTGCCCATAAATAAGACTTTTTTTTCCCACTTTTTCCAGCATATTTGCTGTTATAAAATCTCCCATGAATTTCATTTTTAGAAATTGTTTGAGTTTCATGTCTATCTTTCTTATGATGCTACTGCTGCTAGCTCAACCCAACAGTTGTGTAGCAAAGACCTCAGTCTGCCTACTGTACAACGTGCCCAATAAGTCTATTGCACACTGCCCAGTTTGGCCGGCACCTGTTGTCCTCCATGACTTTAAATAAGATGAATTTCAATCATCATTTAATTTGTTGTCAAAGAGATTTCATCATATGAATTGCCAACTTTAGCCATAAATCATATAGAGATGCACTGAAAGCTAATATGAATTAGTCCTAAGCCTTAAATTTCCAGCTTACCAAATGTCACATGCTGAGCAGCACTTACATTTGAAAGTAATCTCTCAGTGTCCTCTCTTTGTTACATTTTTCTCCACCTAAAGTGGGACATTTTAAAACATCTTTGTTCTTCCTGGAAAATACGTGAACTGTGCACATCTAGCTAGCACACAGATTCTGTGCCAAACTGCACAGAGAACCTGTTTGTCAGTGGTGATGTTTGTTGAACTGCTAGAAAGGTTTCATTTGAGATTACCCATAAAAAAGTTATTTTGTAGTGCTAGCTAGATGCTGAAGTACTGCTGGTGCAACATTATTGATATCTGCATACTTGTTATTAATCTCTGGCTGTCTTCACCAGCATGTCTTTTATACTGTCTTCCTTCTCTTACCCCAACCGGTCGTGGAAGATGGCCGCCCCTCCCTGAGCCTGGTTCTGCTGGAGGTTTCTTCCTGTTAAAAGGGAGTTTTTCATTCTCACTGTCGCCAAAGTGCTTGCCCATAGCGGGTCATTTCATTGTTGGGTTCCTCTCTGTTTGTATTATTGTAGGGTCTACCTAACAATATAAAACGCCTTGAGGCGACTGTTGAATTCAATTGAATGCATAACAGGAATGAATCAATGGTGGAGAAGGGGCTGCAGTAGGTAGGGTAGGGTCAAGTGGTGAATTAACTGTAGCATCAGCTGGAAAGATGGAGTTAGTAAGTTAGGCAGTTTCATACAAAATACTAACTATCAGATTTATTTAGTCATTGATCGAAGATTCTGTAATGCTATTCTGGATCATTCCAGACCTCTTAAACCCCAGAGTGTACCAATAATACAAGACAGTGACAATAAATTATAACAAATCAGTATACAATGGTACATTTGTTGTCATACTCCACTGTGTTTTACTTTTGACTGGAATCTCATGACACTATGGTTAAACACTTATGTCTACTGGATTTACAAATGCTAAATGCCTATTTTTAATCTGTCACAGCATGTCACAGTTAAAACTTGATGATATAAAGGATGAAGTCAAAAGACACAAAAAAATACATTTGCATACTGAAACTATTAAAGATTTTGTTATCATTTTTGTATTGCAGTGAACTCTAACTAAAAACACACAGAAAACCTCCAACTTTTGCCAGCAGGCATGTAAAGTTCTCTGGCTAAAAATGGCTCCCAGTGCTGTCAAAAGTGTCACCAGCTTCAACACATAAGGCAGAGATGGTAAAGATGTAAACTACCTAGCTGAGTTTCCCAGATGAGTTTCGCAAAGTCTTTCAGGACAACAATGGCAGTGAGACACTGAATAATTTCAGATTTATTTTACCTTTAAATTCAGTCTGGAATGGTGTTCAGGCAGATATGGACAGATGCAGATTTGAATAGGTATGCATGTGTAGGTTTCTGTAAGCATATATTAGTTTAGTTGAATGTGTTAAAATCCATTCTTCATGATCATGATGCTTTCTATTTTATTTTAAATAATTTTTACTAATTCAACATTTTCTTCTCTGATCTTTGTCTTACAGAGATACCATCTAGGCCTAGTGTTTGTTCTTCTGGATGGCACACACACACTTACATGCATACATTTACATTTATATGTATCAGCCACAACCTTAAAACCAGCGACCGTTGAAGTGAACAACATTGATCAGTTCATTTAAATGCAGCACTCTTCTGGGAAACCTTGGGCTCTGACATTCATATGGATTTTACTTTGACTTGAACTGCTTACCTAACCTTTGTTCCCGACTAAGCACACCCCACCATTGCAACAACATTCCCCAACAACTGCAACCTTCCCAAGCTGTATAATTTACCCCCATGATATAAAAACTCCTCAGGAATGTGTGAAGAACACAACAAAGACAAAAGTTCCCAGATACTTATCTGATGATGAATCAGTGGAATTCTCCAGAATGAGCCACAAATTCACAGGAGATACACTCTACAGAAGCCAGGCACCAGAGGACACCCAGCCTCAGACACCCCATGTCCATATCTGGACAGGTTAGATTTGCTTTTGCAGATCAAGTGGAACCCAGTGCTAGGCAATTAGATTTATTGTTATGGCTAATCTGATATAAATTTAAGAGGCACAAACAAAAAGTTCCACTTCTCCATAAAAAAGCAAAACCCAGTTAAGTAAGTTATTAAGTTCTTTTGATGTCTTGCACTACTTACAATGCTCCTACTCCATTTATCATATCAAGTAGCCAACTCATGTAGGTAAGTAATAATGGTGGTAAGTGACAAAAAACTGCTATGTACACATTGCAACACAAGCCAGATTATTTGTGCCAAATGCTTCCCCTTAAACACTTCAGGATGTAAGCGAAAAGTCTGAACCTGGAGTTACACAGTACATGAAACAAAAGATAACCATGACTCTGGTCATGCTCCTGACCTGATGTACCACCTATTTGGACATTATATTCCCTTCTACTACTGACTGCTGCTTAGTCGCTTGGCTCTATCTGACCCATCTCTAATCATTGTTATTTACATTTTGAAGAGATCTAGTTCCTTAATCCAGAAAGAATACCACAGGAGATTCAGATATTAATTGTAGGATATGTTTACCTGGCTGCAGAACTAGGGCAGCCACACATCTATAAGTTATAAAAGTTATAAGTTATTTTTGAACTGCCAAAAATATTATGCTTATCCATTTATTCAGATAAAATATTTTCTAATTTAATATCAGCTCACTGACTTTTATATGGCTGCAAATACAAGTAAACATAGTAAATAGATAGGAAGTAAACATAGTATAGAAAGACTCCAGATAAAGGCTTCAAGGCTACCTGTACAATTTCTTCTTTATCTTGCAAATCACAATCGCTAACATTAACCCATTGAACCCTTCCTAATAGCAAAGCAGATATAATCTAAAAATATAATATAGAGTAAGTTTGCCACTAAACTTCGTCTATAAGTTACACGACAAAAGCAAAAATATATTTAAAAAAAACAAACAAACAAAAAAAGCAGGTTGCCGGATTCTAGTGCTGTAGAAGATAGAACATTTATGGGGAGATTCACCACATAGAGCAATCTGATCACTTAATAAACTGGATTTTCACACAAAGAAAAAAAATACTTGCCAAGCTCTCTTTTTGCCACCTCAGTGCATTGTATTTCATTTTATCTTGTTGCATGGAAAGCAAGTGTTTTGAGAGCAGATGTACCTGATCCTTTTGCCAACTTGACCAGGCAACTCAAAGCCATATGAGCTCCAGAGCCCCATGCTCTGGTATAATTTAAAACAGAAACTACATCTCTCTACCACTCTTTTTCATTCATTTCAAATCTCTGAGATATAAAAAAAAATTACCCATTAGTAATAGCTGAGGTAGGACCTACTTTGGGAGAGCAAGAGCTAAAGCATCCACAAAGATCCACTTTGTTGTATGTATTGATTTTCTGTGTGCATGCAATTCACATGCAGTTCCAGACATCAGAATGATATTGCATCTGTGGTTGAAATGACACATTTCCTGCTTCAATATTTAGAACACACGTAAGGGAATAAGTGTACTTGTCCTGATACTGCATCCATTGTGACTGAGTGGCTGAATTGCAGGAACTCTCTCACTGCCAGCTCTACTTTCCACTATTCATTTTTTCCCTTCCAACACTCTATTTTTTGGTTCATTGGCTTAATTTCCCTCTGCTGGAGTATAGAGGATGTGAAGAAAAACCTTCAAAGGGTTTAGATGGTGTGTTCCACAGATTCATTGGCTGCACTGAATATTTAGTGTCACATGCAGATGCAGATGGAAAAAACGTGTGCATACAGTTACTAGAGGGTTAAAAACATCCACGCATACCACTTATTTACACTTTATGTTTGTTACGATTTGGGGTCAAATTATATATCCTAGAAGTATATATATATATATATATATATATATATAAAATGAGAAAATTACACTTTGTTTGAGCCACATTTTTGGACTAAAATATTGACATTACTTGCAACCATTTAATACAGCGAGGCATGGCAATAACCCCCTTTTCACAGAAAATATTTAAACCTTTATATGCTAATGTAAGCATTTTATTATTCAATACTTATTTTTTCTCCTTTTTTTCATAATTTTAATTGGAGTTAAATGATTCCTGCATTGGTTCCCAATAATTTGTCAAGATGACAGCCATTGCTCTAGTTTTTCATTAAAAAGCAGCAGAAATAGAAAATTAAACCTATCATCACCAATTATACAAAATGCCAAGACATATTCATTAATAATCCACTTATGCGGATTAGCATATGATTATGCAGTGTTTCCAATTAAGTACAAAGGGTAACATGTTCAAGATATGTGGTGTCTACATCTAAACCAGTGTGTTTACTGCCTCATTGCATGCATCATGCACGAAGGGTGTTTTGATTTAAAGTGCTTTTATTGACAAAGACACAAAAAATAATATTATTTAATATTTGATAGTATTAATAATTATTATTCATATTAAATAAAAAAAAACACCTGACTACAGCACCAAAAGATTGTATGAAGTCTGAAGTCTGTGTCTGTTGAGTGGCTGTTTGATATTGATGAAACATAAACAAACTTTATGGTGGAGAAGTTTTTCCCCATCTTCTTGTTCAGTTTTGAATATTCAGTTTGAAACAAGAAATAACATCATGTTTAATAGTATTCAATCATTTTATGTAATTATTGTATCTTATATGAACATTTGTGAAAACACAGATATAATCAGTAATGCAAAGGTCAAATGAAGACAATATGCAATGCAACAAAAAATGCAATAATAAATCAGTTTGAACTCTAAGGTTCAGATCAATTTCATAGAAAATGTTGGTAGGATGCAAATGTTTTCTTTTTTTTTTCTAAATTAGCATTTTAAATCTGTTAATAATAATAATAATAATAATAATAATAATAATAATAATAATAATAATAATAATAATAATAATAATAATACATTAATAGAAGGGTCTTTGAATATTGCCAAGGATTATACATAGCTGTTTTGTATGCCATCACTGCATGGTATGATCACAGTTGCCATTAGGTTAGCCACTTTATTAGGGTTAAGCAAAGACGTGTTCTGCTTGTTCTGTTTTAATAAGTTTGTAGATCTGTGAAAGATAGAATGTCTTGTATCCTACATGAAAAATCTGATGTTCTAGGTAAATTGTGTTTGAGATCCTTGTTCAGTTGACACTGAGATAAAGTGTATTGTGATCTACGATCTTTGTAAACTGATTTTCAAAGATTTGCTCATTTTAAAACCTGTTGTGCATTTTTTTTTCACATGTAAATTAGAAGACTAAAGTAACAATAATGGCAGTCTCTATAAACTGTCCTTGTATCTTCCTTCTTTCCCTACTTTATTCATCACCCTCTTCCCCTCTGTCTATGAGGCAGAGGCTGAAGAGATGGGACGTTTCAACCCTTAATGCCCTGTATGTCAGGCTGTGTTGTGGAACTGCCAGTGAAATCAGACTGCCAGAGAACTATTGGTGCAACCCCAATGGAGCCTCGGAGCACTGACTTTGTTCCACCTCCAGCAGTGACTGGGCATTTTCTCTGCAGAACAATATTCAGTCAAATAATCAGTTTAAACAGTGCTGAGAAACTTTTTTTCTATACGACTGAACTTGTATGCATTTACCCAAAGCCTAGTTGCAAGAATCACATATGCATGAACTCTGACCCTTTATGTGTATGTTAGGGTTGTTGAATGTAGAAGATAACGGACTCTATATAAAATAGAATTCTATTGTTCTGGTGACTTTGGCCACAAATTGGCCTTTGCAGTTTTTATTTTTATTTTTTTGGTCATTCCACAGACATGGCTTATTGATTCTTTATCGAATAATGTTTTGTTCTGTTTTTCTTATTTGCCTAGAAGTTTTTACCACACCTTAGAAGACAGTGAATGCCATATACTGTTATATTATGTGTATATTTTGTGAATATAATGAGATATTTATGTATGTACTCCTATTGTATGGCTCTGCTTGATGATCATCTCCACATCTTCACAATATTAGCCATTTGTACCTGTCTGAATGACTACAGCTTTTTACATTTTATGAATTTAGTTGATCCCTTTTTGCTCCTTTATACACTGTTACCAAGTAAGGCTTGCTTTTTGTTTGTGTTTATTTATTAATTTATTTTCAAAAGATAATATGTGCATATGTCCATGTTTTGTCAATAAATGACCCCTGCTCATTTTCATATATATATGCATTGAAACATGCATTTATATATACATTGAGCCATCACTCAAAGTGCAGACTGAAAAAAGAAATCAGAACAACAATGAGATGAGAGTACATATTTGCACTATTTCTCCTTATAAAACCTTATCAAACTCTGAGCTCACGCTACAGCATCTCAGTTGGGTTGAGGACTCATTTCATTGTTTTCCAAACATTCTGCTTTAATTTGCATCAGGTAATTTTAATATTGCAACACCCAACCTTTAGATCATACACTATTGCTCTGATTTTTTTCCTGTAACATTTCGTTTAAGAGTTTCAAACTCACTGTTCCGTCAGTGATTACGGAATAACCCGGGCTTAAAAATAGGAAAAGAGTCTCAAACAGCGATGCTCCATTTTAGTATTGGCGTGCGGTGCCTATTCCCTCTAACAAAATGCTGTGCAAGTTATCTAGATTTCTTCTATTTTTCACGTCTTTTATGATGCATGTTATACTCCCAGTGTGCTCTTTTGAGGGAAGCGCCTGAATTTCCTGTTTGTAGACAGTTTTGGACTGGTGAACACCTCTCTGTATAAATGCCTTTCTAGCTTTATATCAGGTTCATACATCTATGTAATACATCACTTATGGTCCTATGAAAGTTGTTTCAATTCAGGGATGGTTTAGACCAGCTCCCAAACTTAGCATGTTTTTATTTATAAGGAGAGAAATCTTTACAAACCTCATATAAGATGGCATTAACTTAATTGGAACACCTGACTTCAAGTAGCCTCTGAAGAAGTCATTAAAATAGGTTCATCTACTTTTTTGTTTTAGCCTGCACCGTGAATGATTACTCTGTGTGTTTAATAAAGACACGGCAAAATTACCTTTGTTTGTGTGTTATTAGTTTAGTCAGATAATCTTTGAAGCTCTTGTGAGATTTGTAAGACAATCTGTTGTTTGTAAAACTTTCAATATGCAATTTATGTAGTTCTTCTCAATAGGACACATTTCCTTATTATTGACAAAATAGAAACTCAATACAGTTTAATATAGCTTAATTTGTTTCCTTTAACTACATTATATGAAGACCATATCTTGCAGTTAAGGTGCTGCACAGTAACTGTAATTAACACAAATATCAAATCAGAAAATCACATGCCTGTAACTCAGTGGGTTTAGGCACATTCAAACTGAGCATTAGAATGGGGAAGAAAGGTGACTTAAGTGACTTTAAATACAGCATGATTGTTGCTGCTAGACTGGATGTCTGAGGATTTATAAAACTGCTAATCTAATTGGATTTTTCCACAGAATCATCTCTAGAGGTTACAGAGAATGGTCCGAAAAGGTGAAAATATCCATTGAGTACCAGTTGTCTGAATGAAAATTCCTTTTCAGAGGTCAAAGGAGAATGGTGAGACTGCTTTGAGCAAAGGTATGCAACAGTAACTCAAATAGCCACTTGTAACAACCAAGTAAATCACAAGAAAGCACAAGACATCTGGTGGTATTGGTGTAAAACTGGGGGGGATATTTTTTGGCACATTTTGGGCCCTTTAGGTGCATGCGAGCATCATTTTGTTGCTGACCATGCCCATCTGTTTATGACTATAGTATACCCATCTTCTGATCGGCTTCAATCCATCAGAAACAAGCCATATTATTAGGTACAAATCATCTTGAACTGGTTTCTTGAACATGAAACAGTCACAAGATCTCAGTCCAACAGAGTGTCAAAGCAATTTCATAGATCAGAAGATTAGCATCATGGATGTTCAGTCAATAGATATGCAGCAAGTGTGCGATGCTATTGTGTCAGTATGAACCGGATCTCTAAGGAATGTTTCCACTACCTTGTTGAATTCAAGCCATAAAGAATTATGGCAGTTTGGGAGGCAAAACAGGGTTCAACTTAGGACTATAAAGTGTATAAGGTGTACCTAATCAAGTTTCCACTAATTGGAGCATGTCATGACAAAAAAGGTAGAGGAATGATTTATGGTGACTCATTCAAGCATTTATGTAATTCACTCTGAGTATTATCTGCTCCATGAGTGGGGGTATGCTACAATAAACTACAGCTGATCACACTGCAAACACAGAGTGCACTGCAAACAGGTACACAAGCAATCATGTTTAGACAGCTAATATACAAGCATGAACACGTATACAGGCAACACATGGCCAGGTGTAGGTGAAATAGTGCTTTAAACACATAACATCATAAAGGCATGCGCCTCAACCTCTATCACACTCTCTACTCCCTCTGCATTTCAGCTTCTCTACATTAAGAGCAGCTGGCAGGCAGAAATAACCCAGACCACGGAGGGAAAAAGTACATTTTATTATCCAACTTCCTCTTCCGTTTGGATGGTGCTTGTGAGACCTGTCTTAGTCTTGGTCACAGCAGCCAATCAAAAAAGGGTAGAGTGCCATCTATTGGCGTATAACCTGAATCCTCAATTTTCTCCATCCCCACCTATCCACTCTTCCTCCCCCCACAGACACACAGGCACACAGCTCCGACACACTGACTCACCATATGTTTTTACACACGCAAAAGGAAACACAGTTTGAGCACACACTGTAACCCCGCACACACAAAGACTGACACATGGAAACGTTCCGTTTTTTTTTACCCACACAGTTGCTAGGACACACAGATTCATACATTTACTAATACTAATAAATACAAATCAGCAATAATTTCTACAGAAAGTTAAATAAAATAAGATAAAATATCATAAAAAAAAAAGATTAATATTAAACACTACTACATCACACTATTAAGCTATATTAAGGTATTAGTAAGCTATTAGCAAGTGGTTATTTCATTTAATGGCAACACTCCTCCTTAGTATGTCATTTATAAATACATAAATATAATTATGACTGTGATTATGATTTTTAATAGCAGTAATGTAGTAGCAGTGATAGCTGTACATTGTGTAACAGTAACACCCCTAAGTAAGGAGGACAATGATACATAAATGATTAATTAAGCACTTCCTAATACCTTGCCAATGCTTAATAGTGTGACTTTATATGTATGTAATTTGGGGTGACTTTTTTCTGAGATTTCATGATCATTTCAGAATAAATGATGTCAGTATTTTATTTATTGAATTTTAGTACAAATAAGGAACTTATCTTTGCTCATAAACATTTTCACTTGAATTTACCAGGTGATCATAAACGAAATGGAAGAAAGAAATGCAAAAACATAATTTAAATACTCATTTTAAGCTGTCTCTATGAAGGTAACTTTTTCCCTCTTTTTTGGGGGGGGGGGGGGGGTTGAGTGGGCGGAGTGGGACGTTATCATAGCCAAACTATTGTGTAAAATAGGTTTTGCACATGCTTTGTTTCCTTTATGTAAAAGTGTACACATAGAGTATCATTTTAATTCATCCAGTAAGCCTGTTTGGCTTCCACGGTCACTGGAGTTTGAACTCTTGAAGGTAGAGCTGCAAGAACAAGGATGACTCGTGTAGGTAGAGTAAATTGAAGGCAGCTTATTCTGCCGACCTTTGACCACTGTGAAAAAAAATGTTTATTTACACCCACAAGTGCACACATGCAAGTAAACAAGTGTACCCTCCATGCAGACATGCTAGCCGCAAATAGAGTGTGCAAAGTTGGGCCAAAATGTAGCTGTCTATGAGTGCTCATGACGATTTCCACAGCACTGTCAGCAGGCACCATATTAACCACATCAGATTCACTCAAATGCCAGACTGTCACATGCAGTCTGATTCATCATCTTTCCACACTGTCAACACAGGAGAAAACGAAGACAGAGAAACAGAAGGAGGGAGTGAGCGAGGGGAAGCAAAAACAGAAAGGTGAGGGAAAAGATCCAAACATGCAGAGGTGAGAGAAAACTGGATAGTGGAAGTGGATAATATGACAAACCGGGAGGAGTGAAAGAAAATAAGCAGGAATAGGGAGGGGGAGAGTGGATTCAGATAAAAGATGAATAAATAGAAGCAGCACACAAGCAGAACTCAAGCCCTCTCTTGCCTGACGAGGCAAGTTGGTGCTCAATAAGAAACGTAGCGGCACAAACCAGCCACTAACCCGGGAACTCTGAGTGTCACACAGATGGGAAACAGTCTCAGGCTCTCTCTTGTTGTCTCTCCTTCTGTGACAGAGCCACCGACACACTAACTGTAGCGTTTTGTGTGGAGGTGCTTGCTGAATCTCATTTCATTTTGTTCCATGTTGTTTTCTTCTGAAGCATTAATATAGTTTGATGCACACAGATCTCCAATTCCATTTGCTGCTCAGTAGCAACACAGCACATGAAGGTTTGGAGGCTTCACTTGATGTGGAGTATTTTGAATGAAGCTAAAACCAGACGTATCACAGTTCAGCTGTTGAATATATGGAAATATATAGACCTGAAGTATTAAAGAGCACTTATTCAACAATGCTTTGTGGCTCTTTCCAGTGTATCTTTTTATAAACCTAAAGAGAAAATCCTCAGTGTTTCATGATATTATGCAATGTGTCACTGTGTAAAATGTAAATGAGATCTAAAGTGGCACATTACAGCTGGAGTGACTTTTTAACTGTCACTTGTTTCAAAATAATTTTGAACAGGGAGAGAGTGTGCTGTATGGTGATGATGATATACACCTAAATTACAGCTTTTATTACCTGCTCATTTCTTAAATATGGAAATTTTAACCGAACTTGGAATACTCTACAATGAAAACACTACATAAACAATACAACAGAAGGAAGAATGTCTTTTAAATTTGATCATGCATGCGGCTGTAAAACAATTATTTTTTGTTTTCAGTTCTTTTATGCTTCATGATATGATGGCAGCTCTGTTCATCTGTGTGACAGATTATTGCTGATTTATCTGATTGATTGCATATTCACAAGCTAGTCTACTCCTACTGCTGGGCCCAAGCCTGGATAAATGGGAGGGTTGTGTCAAGAAGGGCATCCGGTGTGGAAATCTGTACCAAATCAAATATGCAGATTCATCCAATGCAGTGTTCCTTGGGAAATAAGGGAGCAGTCGAAAGTACTTTTAGCTGTAGTTTCTACACCATCCTGAAATACTTTACTGACACAGAAGCAAGATTGGAAACCACAGAGATGATTATTATGTAAAATATGACTTTGCTTTTGGTTTAGCTTCCCCCCCAAAACCACCTGCTCTCTCTCGCTCACACACACACACATGCACAGACAAACACAAAAAACAAATATTTTTTGTGGAGGAATTAAAAAACTCAACCGGAATCTGCACTAAACAACATTAAATTCCCTGCTCAACTGAAGTGGGTCTGCTAAATCAATGTAAGGCATACATAGACACAGTCTCATTTCATGAAAATATACTTCCTGGTTAATCTGATGAACATCCTGTTCTGATTAGACCTGCACGTGGGGAACGGTTAAAAATAACCACAGAATCGGTGACAAATGACCTCCTTCAATACACTCCAGTGCCCCCTGCACATTTGAAACTGAAACATCACATTAGGCAGATGAGGAGCTTCAAAGAGTTTGTAGTTCATTTACAGTTCTCTTTGAACTCAATAGCACATAAATGTATCCACATGACAGTAGATTCTGTCCCATGCACATTTACTTCTGGTGAACAGGTGTCATTGAAAATTTACGTAGTTTGAATCTCTTTTATTAAATTGATTTAAAAAATAGACATTATAGCTATGTTATATAAACTTTTGTGGCATTTTGTCTTTATTGGATAGCAATACTGAAGATAGACAAGAAGGCGGAGAGAGAGAGGGGGGAAGACACATAACAATGGTGTTCAAGCATTTCAGCTTGAACCCTAGAACCAGTTTTCACAGAACATCTAAAGTCAGGACAAACATCTTTATCTTAACATCATCT